CGCTTCCTGCTTTGGGGTAACGAAAGATATTCCGAGTGCCACCTTCATGACAGAGAGAGAAAAGTCTGCGTACATACGTGCACTCCAAGAAGACACAGCTCTCGACACAGCGGACGATAAAACTGGTTCTCAAGCGTGTGGTCAGCTTTCACAGCGCCTCACGTTGAATGTGTGATACTACGCCATACTGCTGTACTATCACCTGCATCTCCCAGGCTATTCTGTCTTTGGACTGGCATACTTGTCACGTTGTGAATCGCCGATAGAGCCGTAGATTTAGCCTCGGGAAGTCTAGGTTACTCGCCCACCAAAACCAGCTTTATGGAGTCCCCTCATTCGCTTCCGCGTTTGTTTGTGTGTCGTTCATCGCGTTGCTAGTGGATTCAGATCTTGAACCCAGCATTTATGTAATACAGTGAGCCTTGCAGCCGCCTATTTCAGCGACAAATACCATTACCGAGGGCTAACTGCGATTGGTTCAAGTTTCATAACTCTTGCAGGTTCCATCATGATGTACTGTTCGTATACATCATTGACGCCAGGAACATGACATTGACTCAAAACTTCATAGACGGCACAGATGTCCATGTGAGGTATGGTTCGCTATTCGCCCAAGCGATTGGTATTTCCATCACTATTCCGTGCTTGGTTACGTGGATCCCGAAGTAGGATTGTTGCACTTTTGGTTCTTGTTCAATTCACGAGCTCTTCCGATACAGTAATGTTTATCCTCATTACCGACGGCGCTGCGGCTATCACCCTTTGTGACATTCACAATGTCCTCATACGCCTGTCAGACTGTGCTCACCACATCCGAGTTTTAGCATCCATCAACAGCAGCTCCAGAGGAATACTGGCGACGTAGCTGTACCTCGATGGCCCTCACTTCCACCAAACGACGAAAGTCAATATCAGCTGCACTGTCGGTGAGAATATAATTGTTCTCCACTCTGACGCAACGACTCTAAGCCGAAAAGAGCTGTAGCCAAAACACTTGGATAAGTACTTCAATTTCATAACACCTAGTACTCATCGTGGACATCTCCCTAGGACTAGGCTATCTTTATTATAAGAACTTGCAGAAGTCGAAAGAGCGCAGTTTACATAACGACACTCCGGATGATGATGTTGAAGAGAAATTGAGGCTAGGTGACAGACATCGAGACCTCTTATGATTGGTGTGGTTCATGCATAAACTAACGAGTCCGTTATGACCTTGTATTGCATGGATGTTTTCAATTGCAATCGACCAGTTGATAAGATAGAGCGTGTTGAGACCAACAGTCCAGTCAGCTTATGTAAGCACCAGACGAGAAACAAGCTTTGTGCCTGTGCCACACAACATATCTCGGCTAATGTGTAACATAACATAAGCTTTGTAGAGCTTTGGCGCTTTTGCCTCTCTGAAACACTTTTGTATGGCAACGTTGCCACTCAGCGAACGTTGCGTATAAAAGAGAGAAAAATTTGGAACCATCTCCCTCAGATCTCTAACATGAGTCTGAGGTAAGAATGATATCTTTCCAATTTTTTGCATGTTGTAACTCATGTATTGTCTATGCCGTAGCTAACTTGAACGCTACATAGGTATTTACAATATAGATCTCTAACATGACCCTAAGCTAACGCTACATAGCCTTATCTTTGAAAGAATGTCAGGTAGATGGAGGGTATGGACGCGTAATTTTGCATCCCTGAGCCAGCATCGCTTCAACACCATGATGATGTATAAGGAGAACAAAACCGAGGAGTTCATACAAGCCAAATTTGGGAATGAGCATTCCAAATGGATTCGCAAACGGGCTCGAGGGCTTGATCGTCTTCATCGGGAGGGGACACGCCGAGCTGAGTGGATAAAGGCTGGGGTTCAAGAGAAGCGCCGGATGGAGGAGGCAGCAAAAAAGGGAAGGAGGGATGAGATGGATAGACAACTTGATGCAACGGAACTGGTCCTAGATGTCACCAAAGTTGACATGCTGAAGGCAGGCGACGTGATCTTTCAAATCAACAAGCACCGATCTATAGGTGAAGATGATCTTATACCACCGAAAACGCCTGTTTGGAACCTCCACGCTGGGCCAAGGAAGGACTTATTAAAACAAGTTATTTCACGGCACCTTAATCGCCATTCCATGGACAGTTCAGCGATGGATTAGATCGACTGAAATCTCCCCCCTCGATCTCGTCATATAATCAACTGTTTTGCACCGATCAAGTAAAGTTGTATGTTTCCTACCGATAACACATCGTTCGTTTTCTTCTTGACTCCTTGTGTTGAGACTAACTGCCGTTGCAATGGTTGGACCATGGCTCAGCGAGGGTTGCTTGCGTAAGAAACTTCTCACTTGCTGACCTCCATTCGCAGGCTCAGTGATGGAGCACCCTCAGTTTCTGAGAGGGAGACGAGAAAGGAGGCAACTGTTTGAACGAGATGTATTGCTCCGACACCTCTTTCAAATCGCTCAACACGTCAACATCATCCTCATATCCGAGCCGCTTTTTCGGGGTGTTGTCGCGGTACCAATCGCCGAACATGAAGCCCGCCATAATATCCCAGCCGGCGTCATCCAAAGTGTTTGACTTCAGGCCATACTCGATCTCCTATTTGCGCCAGGCATTAACCTGAGCTGGTTAGGAAGCTCAGGCATTGATGTCCAACGCACGTTCTTCCGCAGTGTCTCCAACCAGCCCAAATGCAGCCGCCACACCCCTCCAGCGCTTGGACTATATCTTACCTTCCGTGAAAAACGCTTGCATTTGAAAGATCATGGTGAAGTGCAGCGGAATAGCTAATTGCGCAACCCTGCGCGACAGCTGTTTAGCCTAATATGCCGGGCCTCTGATGCACACTCTTTCGTAATGTTAAAAGGAATACCGAGCTTGTGCGCAAGATTCATAGGGTTGGGGGTGGGCACGAACCCAATAAGCACGTAAGGAACAACTTGACACCACGTCAATCGAGTCATAACATCCGCCTAGGCATCTAAGTACGACGTGGTGCGTTATGGGTTTAGCATAGAAATAATAGATAAAGGAAAGGCTGACAGTGAAAAAGCGTTGTTCAGAATCTTTCGTGGAAAGGCAGTTCTGGCAGCGGGTACTTTTCCATCTACTCGATCCCATACGTCTGCCGTCAGGATGAGACACCACGCTCTTACTAGACATGGTCCCTGGGACAACATTGCCTTTGTTCAATCACAGCCCAAACCAGGTTTTGCAGGAAGCTTTCGATTGAACATTGCGAATAGTTTCTCCTTGTGGATGTAATGCTATTGGGGGGAAAAACTGTTTGAAAACATCGACTCGTGGGGTAAATCAAGTGAGTCAGTGAGAGTGGACGTGCAGCGGAGATACACATGTGTGGTGTCCTCCATGTTGGAAACGTTCGCCTGGAGACGTGATATCATGTTATCGAGTACCTGAAACGAGCGCCAGGCGAGGGTCTTCACGCAAGTTACTGGCATCTTCAACGCAAGAGTGGTCGGTTGGTTGTCCCTGTAATGGATCGGAAATCGTCCTTGGGGAAAGACGGACTTGGAACAGCGTGCTCATTCCTCTCGATGCCAGAAGCACCGAAGACAAGTGCGCGTCTTAGAATAACGGCCATAGTTGAACGGCATCGCAAAAAAATGAACTACGAGTTAACGAGACGCGTTGTCTTCAATTCACGCTGACAAATCGGTCATCATTGTTCCAGAACATTGCAGTCTGCGATACCAGCAAGCGCCATGCAGACTCATACCAGATAGTGGTATCAGAACTAGATAGTATGTGAGAAGCGCTGGCAACTCAGGCCTTCGTGGCCTGAAGAGCAGAGGGAAACAAAACGACTGAATGTAGTGTGGAGCCTGCCAGCTGCTACCCAGCACGACTGTAACCATGGAAGGGGCTATGGTGATCGTATCCTTCTGACGCAGACCCACCCCCGTCCTGAGTTAAATAAACCGACTGGCTCAATTAACGCCGAATCGAATGTTGTCGCAAGTGGAGTTTGTTGTTGTTGTTGTTGTTTATTCTGGATATTTAACCTGCAAACTGTAGGCTGCTCGTGAGAGCGCCAAGGGCAGGGGTCGAGATAAATACACAAAAATAAGGTGAGAAAATAAAGAAATAAGTCCGATTCGGGTGTCCTTAATCTCTCTGATAAGGCGTTGCCCAAATGCTGCTCCACTTTTGAGTTGTCGTGTTGGGTTGACCGTTTTTAGGTGTCGGTTTCGAAAATGGGATGGGTTCCGCCTTCCAGCGGTGTCATATCTCGGGGTGTGTCTATTCTGTCCTTCTCTCTTTCTCGTATGCTCCACTCGCTGACAGAAATCCCGCTACCCTCTCTATTCCTTTCTCGTCCACCAGGAGGTCGGCAAGGATCAGTTCACCTTCATCGTCTGGGAGCAAGTTTCGGTGGTGTTCGTGCTTGGGACATTCGAGAAGTATGTGTTCTCTCGTTTCTACGGGTTCTCCGCATGTGCAACTGGGGTTCTCTTCTGGTAGGAAGCGTTTGTAGAATTGTCCGATGAACGCATGGCCGGTGCGAAGCTGTACTAGGCGGCTGAGGGATTTGCGGGAGTGGGACTTGAACCGCTTTGTTGGTCGCAGTTGCGGTTCTATGCGGTTACAGCTTCGGTATTCTGATGGCTTTTGTTGTATAGGGTCAGTGTTCCAGCGAGAGATCCATTCGTCCTTATATTGGCGTTTGTTTAGGTTTCTCATGAATGCCGCTGAGGTACTGTACGGGTATTCGGACGGCAGGTTGGAGCCTTCTTTGGCTAGGGTGTCTGCCCGTTCGTTCCCTTTGATATCTTCGTGTCCTGGGACCCACTTTATAATTACGTCGCAGAGGGGGCGTTCTGAAAGAAGGAGGGAGATGGTGTTGCGGAATCGGAGTGATTGTTGGATGTCCAGTCCTGGGACGTGGCCATTATGCGCTGGAGTGCTCCAGTGTTATCGGAGAAGATTGAGAGGGTGAGTTTGTCTCCTTTTTGGTAGTGCTCGTCGAGCCAGATCTTGAGGTTAGCTGATCCTTGCGCTAGTCCCTCCATTTCCGCATCATACACCTCTGCTCTAGGTCCTGTTCCCCCCTTCCCTTCGAATATGACACGCGCCTTTTGGTAGGCTGCAAACCCGTATCCCGTTTTTCGGATGCCCTGGTCATGCGCAAGTGAGCCATCGGTGTATAGTAGGATGTGGGACTCATCGCGTTTCCATTTTTTTAATCCGTTCTTGTGTTCCTTCGCCCAGGTCTTTTTGGCTGATTCTCCTGGTTCGTTGGTTGGTATTTCTATCTTTACTCTTCCTTCTAAGTCGTCTATTGTTTTTGCCCATGGTGGTGCTGGCCATAATGTTGTTGGTTCCATTTCTGTTTCGATTTCTTTTGCCATTCTCCAAATTTGCGTGCTATTTTGGTCTTTTTCTTTTCTTTTTTCCTGTTTCTCTTTGTTTTTTAGGTTTCTTCTTTAGGGTGTGGTATCGGGATGGGGGGCAAGTGGAGTTTGATGTCGGAAAATCCCGAATAACGCATGATAAACTGTTTTACATATGGGTTTTTGGTATGTGGGATGCATTTTTCAAACATATAAATACGATTTACTTGAATACATTCCGTAGCATCAAAAACGCAACCCACACATCAAAAAATCCATAAACAATTTATCAAGCGTTTACTTAAACGTTATACGGGGTTTTCCGACACATTGTGCCCAGCTGATGCACGTGCACACTCAGTATCAAAGCCGACTCAAACGGGGATAGAGGCTGGGGGATCCTATCTGAAACAGGGGGTGCAGGAGGTAAGGGCAGGACCCCTAATTTCTATCAAAGGGGGGCCCGCACCAAGGTGCTCTGTGTGCTTCCACGGTCGGTTGCAACAATTTGCACTGGTCAGATAAGTGTTAGTATGATTAATTCGCAGTTTTACATAACTCTACATTGTGGAGGTGATAGCCAGAAAAGTGGGAGGATCATCGAGAGGAAAGATGCATTGATAATGCGAAAAACGCAATCGTTGGGTACTCAACCAGATGATTCTCAGTCCATTTCATCGTAAGCAGCGTGCTGTTTGTGCGTACCAGGGCAGGCTATCCTTTCTTTGTTCAATAGCACCCTTGAGAACCCAAAAAGAATGACCAGATCCCGATACGATGTAGGCACGGCAATAGGGAAGCGACGCGCCCAGCCATCCCAAACCAGAAAATGTTTGCAACAAAACCAAAGTGGGCTCCCTATGTGATTCCGACATGCATTATGAGTTTGGGTGGCCTTGTCCATTATAAAACCCGTACGTATCCGCGGGTGCGTGTGTAAAATTCAGGTTTGCGGCATCGGTGAGTAATGGGTAGTTGGTGAGGAGGAGGCATCGACGGCTCCCACTGAGTTCATGAGATCTGAGAGCTCTGGGTATCTACGTCGAGATCGTTCAAGTCCTCCGGGAAACTCGTGTTGGCGACAGAGAACACCGAGAACGCTTGCTCTCCTTGGCCATAGGTGCTGAGCGACCCCGCGTTGTGACCCTGAGATTCTGTTGAATTCTTTGGTTCAGTGACCAAGCAAGGGGTTGAGATGGGTCGTGTAAACGCACCATAAAAGATCCGTTGCGATTTAATACAACAGCTGTCTGCAGCTGCTTCTTGTAGTTTTGCAGTGTCTGCGGGTCCTGAACGCCGAGCCATGCAAACAAACCATCGTCAGCCCAAAGGCGCCAAGAAAAAGCAATGGAGTATATTGACTTTGGTCCAGGAAGGAAGGGGTTGACCATATCCCCAACATTCGACTCCGAGTCTCCTGCACAGGCTGCAGGCGCCTTCGGCATCGAGGTCGACAGGGCATTTCTGTCGATTAGATCGGGGTAAGCTTTTGGGAGTTGTGGCATATAATGATATGCTCAGACCTTCCTACGGATACGGCATGTGGCGCAGCCGACCGGTTGTATGTGATGCAGAGGCAGTGGGGAGCTGGACAGTGTTCATACAGCAGGAGAGACAGCCCATTTGAGCTTATGCTTTATATCCTGCACAAGTGAATACAGCACTCAAAGCCTTTAAGACTAAATTGGACCAGCATCTTGGATTAACAAATGAAGTGACCTTCTATAGTAGCTTAAGTGTGACATCGTGAACCTTCAAATGAGCAAGAGACTGTGATAGCCGGGAGAATCTCGGTTTGCGAAATGGTAATGGTGACTCGTTATGGAAATATGGATCAAGTAGGGTCTCAAAAGAATGCAGAAGTCCCAATTAACAATCCCGGGCGAGTTTCAAGAACTAGAGGCGGCGAAGCTATTTTCTCGGTGATGCATGTCGATC